TGAATCTCAAACAATGATCAATAAATTCAAGTACTCATAATATAACCATTGATTATTAAAGATGTTTTTATATTTAGCCTACTGATAAAAAATCATAATCTAATCGTCCTAAAATCGCTTGTCAAATTATTACATTTAGCATTTTTCGCCACCACAAACTATATAAGAAGGAAAGGCAACTTTGCCGGGACATATTAATAATATTCCGTCAAAATGAAGGCTGTCACTGTTTTTGCAATAATTTTGTTAATCTGCGTACGTTATTAAATGTGGAATATACACAATTCTAAATAATGTTTAATTTGTTTATTTGTATTTTTAATTGAATATTTTTTTGCAGGGAGCGCAAGCTCGAGGAACTGATGTAGGTGAAGCTGAGAACAAAAGCATCATTCAAACGCAATTGAAGAATCTCATTGATTACATAAATACAACACTGAAGACAAGTATTAAAGGAACAGAAGATGAACTAGAGAAACTTAATAAGGAAACAGAAAAAATTCGTCAAAATTTTTTGATGGAAATGAATGAATTTGTCATGTACTCAAAGACTTTGGTAAGAAAATAATTTTTTATTAATACAAACGTAACCTTACGCATTGAAAAAAATGTGAAATAAACGATATTATAATTTTCAATAATAGTCCGATGGAAACGATTCAATACACGAAAGAGCGAAGAAATTGAATGTGTCGACCCTTGAATGCGATAATAAATGGGCTCCATTGACAAAGCTTTTTGAAGAAACAACTAACGCCATCATGAGTTGTTACTCGAAACAAAGTAGATTGATAAAAAGCAAATACCATGACTTAATTATGCAGTTTGCTATAGCTAAAGATACCATTGAAGATAATGCCATCCAAGCCAGACTATGCGTTGATCAAGCAACCGTATTTACATCTTTATCTGCTGCTGCATGTTTGGCTAAGGTAAAATAAATTTGATATTATGAACTGTTTAATCAATCAGGTAATGAAATAAAGTTATTAAACCGAATCCATTTTTTAGGCTGAAATAATTTCTGATCTAGCCTACGCAGTAGGTCCTGGAAAAATTCAATTACGTACATATGCATCAGATATCGAAGAATTTAAAAAACAATTAAAAACTTGTAAGGCAGGCATAGTTGATGACATGAGAGCCAAACGTCACTATATGGATAAAGAAGTACAAGAGTGCATTTTTGATAAAATCTCCAAAGAAACTTGATGCCGTACTTACCAAATTTATTTGTAATTCATTTTTATTCCACGAAAACATTTTTACATTCATCCAAAATCACTTTTTTCTCCTACCGGACTAAATTAATAAAATTATCGATTAATATTGCCGACTGTCAAATACGACGATTAAAGTGTGATTTATTTATGTTATAATTATAAAAAAGTACATTTTTATGATTGAAAATAATAAAATTTTATTTTATAAACAAAAGCATAGGCAATGAATTCTTTTTAAAATCTTATCATTTACTCATAATTTCACGTTTTTTCTGAATAATTTGCTTACCTCAAGTTATTACTCTTGCCACTCAAAAAAATTATTTCACATTCAATTAAATATAAATCAAGTTTAATGTAGAATTTGAATCTTATGTATCGCCGTAAATGACTCTTATATATAATTTTGACCGACTATAATAATAATAATAATAATAATCATTCAAAAATTTAAACCTGAACAACATTATTTTCATGCTACTACAACTTTTGTAAAGGAATTATTATAAATATTTTGTGAATCAAATCTGTGTTTCTCGTGGCATACGGCAATGCCTTGCAAAAATAAATCCGTAAAAATCAAAAAAAGAATTAAACATCGATTCTCAATTTCCAATTTCAATAGAAAAAATTAAATATGTTTCTTATATGAATGTTATAAAATTTCTGGTAAAGACATTGGAAATTAATTATACAAAGGAATTTCCACAATTTTTAAATAAAGTGATTTTCATGGTATTTAAGACCAGAATAAGTGAAAACGAAATAGGTAATATGAATAAACTGTTCTGATCAGTATGTAACAAAGTGCTGCCATACCGAAAAGAAACAAAATCTAGTTGGTTGACAATTTTCATTATTCCTGTACATCTCTTTTTACACTATTACACGAGTGAGTTAAGCATGAGTTGAATTTTCCTTTGTAGAGAGCCCAAACAGAGCAAGGCAATGAGCTATGAGAGCACTCGCAAGTTATATTTTAACGCGGAGTTTGCTGACCTTTATTATTTGCTCTATTATGAATGTCAACTAAAGGGAGGGATCAGTAAATGTCCACCGAACCTGTAAGAAGATCTATTCAGTCATGGTGTAAACTATTGCGAAGCCAGACCTGAGGTTGCTGACAAACTCTCGATAGACAAAGCTTTAGGGATCACGATAGGTTCAATCTTTATTCAGATGTATCATGAATAACAGTATGTCAAATTTGTCTCTTTCTGTCTTTTTACCTTTTACTCTGTCGCCTTCTGAATTCTAGCCCGAACCTTGACCAACTTCGTGAGATAGTCGCGGGAGATTTGTACGTTTATCGCGTCATTATACTTCATGAGCGTTACGTACTAAATATTTGTGGTATGGCAGAAATTTTCCCAATTAACTTAGTAAAATAAAAAAAGTAATACAATACGCCTTTGAATTTGAAATTTATTAGAACGAAAAATCATCGATTTTTTTTATTTATTATTAATTTACAAGAGCAGGGAAGAGGGCTCAACACAAAATGGATCTCAAGAAAAATACCCAAAACAGAGATCCTGAGAAGCCGAGGTAAATAAACGTGTATTTTTCTTCTTTTTTCTTTTGTCGCACCGTAGGTAGTTGTGAGAACTTTTTTTTGCTGAAGCTTCCATATATTGCATGAATATCTGCAGCAAGCAGTTTAATTTTATTGCTTGAGTGATTGTTGTTTTTCAATTATTTTATTATAAATTTCGTCCTTTATTTTATCCAAAGTCGATCTTATTTCATCATAAGATTTGCTTTGATCACAAGCTTCTAATCTTTTCACTCCTTTTTCGACTTGCATTTTAAAAAATTGCATTGTGACACTTCCTGGAGCTGTTGCGTAGACTAAGTCAGAATTAATTTTGGCCTGAAACATGGATGATATTTCATCAGTTCATTCAAGAACAGTACAATTAAATTATTTACAAAATTCGATTTGTTTTACCTTCGTCAAACACGTAGCTGTTAGTAGAGACGTAGATAGAGTGGCTTCTTCGACGCATTTTTTCGCTTGTTCCACTATTGTGCTAATGAGCGTTTGAGCATTAGTTATTAATTCGAAAATTGCGTATTCTTCACGTGACATGCTAACCCCTACACTGTATATACACTTTTTAACTGCATCATATGTTTGCGAGACGTGTGTAGTCGAAGGTATTTTCTCGTCGAATTCCGCAGTTGAAATATTTAACTTTTTGGCGGACTCGTAAATTGGGTCATTCGAAAATGTATTTAACTGAAAATTTGAAAATTATCGTTTCATATTCATAATGTATTCCAACGGTATGTTTTATTCTAATATATAGTAAATCTTTTACCAAAGACATTATTTCCATTTTATTTTTTTCGTTTTCTTTTTCCATGTTATATCGAAGACTAGTGAATGGTCTATAGGCCTTCGTTAATTTTTCCAATTTTTCATCAAGACTTGATTCAAATTTTTTTTCCAAGTAATCAATGAGATTCTGCAGCTGTGTTTGCAGCATATTTCTATTCTGAACTTCATCTAAATCAGTTACCTGAGCTTGCGCTCCCTAAAAAAAAAAATTGATTACGAATGCAAATGAACTAATGTAAAAATATTTGTAAATGTTTATTTTTTCTTACGCAGATTAGAAAAAATGTTGCAAAAATTGTGACACTCTTCATGATGATAGGATTTCTTTAATTGGACTCTACAACGCTGACTGATCGCTTTATGTAATTAATTTTGGCTATCCTGCTAAAGAATGTGAGTTGTGATTTTTCGAATGATTAGATTGTGGTTTTTTATAAGTGTACCTAATATACAAGTGACTTTTACAATCAGTGGTTATTATGTCTGAGTACTTAGATATTATTTCTGAGTACTTAAATGACTTGATAAATTTTTGGAATGTATTTCAAAATGACGTTTCAAAATCGATTATATTATTACTGGAAAGGACAAAAAATGAAATTTGTTTGAATCTTTTCGATAAATTTAAGTTACAAATAATTACTAAGAGCAGCTATAAATTGAAAATATGATTCAAGACTTTTAAATCAATAGTTTTTTTTCTATAAGTATATTGACACAAAAATATGATTAATTAATCAAATTTACACGTTACCGGCAATTAACCTTTTTTCGGTCTCGAAGAAAGCCTTGTAAAATGAAAATGATGAAATAAATTTTTTAAGTAATTATTGATGCTTACATCTTTAGTAAGATTAAAAGAAAATAAATGAGCGCTGTAATGTGCAATTTAGAGACAGGATAGCACTGAAGATTAAAATAATTGTACGATTGAACTGTTTTTATTCTCTGAATAAAATTTTTTCTTTGTATTCTTTACATTTTAATCAGACAGTTATGTTCTCATTATATTCAATTTTAGATTTTGAACTATTAACGAAAAATAAATGAAACGGTTGTTTTTTCATCTTGGCGAAATATTTAATTAATAGTACTTGTTCAAAAGCTCGTGAGTATAAATTACAAGCCAAGACACGAGAATCATAAAGGCGAAAGCTAATAAAGTACAGAAGAAGTAGAACACTAGAACCTCATTGGTGCAAACGGCTGAAAGTCGAGAAACCTCTGTAGTAACTCTTCCCCAGAACTTCTCCCCTTTTATAAAGAAGTTCAAATCCATCACCTATAAAATTTGTATAAAATTCAAATCGTGTAGCCTGAACCTCAGTAAAATGAAATATAATGTATTATTTACTGATTTTGTTAATTTACTGGTTTTTATTATCAATACACTGTGAACATTTTTTTAAATTCTTAAATACTTTCAATATACAATTGTAAAATTTTAAAGTACAATTGTCTACCAAGTATTTTTAGATGGCACATTTAATGTTACGAATATTTTTCTCGTCCTCTTATTCAAATAAGAATCGCATTCGTCTCAACTCTTTTCATACAAAATTTCAAAAGCACAAAAATAACAGTTATTCATGAAGTTCTTCTATACTATGATGATAAATGGATTTTTTGAAAAGTATGTATTACGATTAAAGTTCAATGATAAAAATAAATTTAAAAAAAGTATTAATATAAACACTCTCGTTAACACAATTACACATTGCATATAGTATAAAAATTGTACACATTAAGGCATTGTTGAGGATCACTTGTCCAATGAATACTTCAACCAAGGTATAATTTTCGCGTAATGCTGCATGAAGTATTTGCCCTCGTCTCCGACAATATCGTCATAATTTAGGCTCTCAAGTTCTGCCGTAGCCCCTTCGTAAATTTCCTTATTCATCGACGACACTACAGCGGACTCGAAAAACGAGCCAGTATTTCCGAATACCTGCCAAACAAAATGATATACAATCAGTTATCGAAAAAGTTTCACACGTAAAAATGAAAATAAATTTCAAGTTAATTCGAACGAAAAACTTAAAAAGAAAAAAAAAGGTAAGAGCTCCCATACAAAGTTTACCGGGTCACTGTCGTCCGGCGCATCGCCTTCGCCGGGGTTCAAAATTTCGGTTATCTCGCCGTAGAATCCCGGCGTCTCGTCGTTGCCGTAAGCCGATCGATCGGTCGCGTCGTGCCGATACTTGTACTGCTCGCCGTCCATCGACGGAGCGCCGGTCACGGCCGATCCCGAGTCGTCCTTCAGATGCGCGTGATAATCCGGCACGCCCGTTTTCAGGACCAGGTACTCGTGTTCCTTTTTCTTCGAGGATTTGTCGTTGCGCTTGTGCGTGTGGGGTGCCCGCATGATGATGCGCACCGGTATCAGGAAATCCGACTTGAAGAAAGTCTCGGGGTAGTCGCCGTCACTATACGATGATTGCATTCGTACAGGACGATGGAAAAGCGATAAATTTAAAGAAATCGGCCATCGAGTAATGGTATTATACTTACTCTGGATTCGTAATTAGTTTCAGATTGTTGAAACTCGCGAGCTCGTTGAGGACCGATCGAGCATTGGTCGATCTCGATTTCTGAAAATCTTGCGGACTCGAGTTGTCGTAGCTCACAGTGGTCACGTCGATTGGCTCGGTGCTCGTTTCGATATCGATAGTGAGGAATTCCGAATCCGGCAACTGCAATCAATCATGGAGAAACCGTTTACGATTATTATCCCGTTGGGGTGAGACGAATTTCATTCTCATTCGATTAGCGAGAAAAGTACCTGACTCGTGTAATTGGTTTCCAGCAGCGTATCGAATTCGGTTGTATTTATAATCTCCGCGTTGCCAGTCGGCGCAATTTCCGAAAAACTGTCGTTCACCAGTCTCGGCTCGAAGCCATCATCGGCAGCGATCGTCGTCGCGAAGCTCTCGAACTGCGTCGAATCCTCGGTCATACCCGAGGAAACGTCCGACTCCGTCACTGCGTCGGAGCTCTTGTCCGGCCACCAAGTCAAGGTCGTTTCATCGACAGCAGCGAGAGTTTCCGACTCTTCGGTGACGGTGAGTACGGTGGTTTCTTCTTCTCTCGTTCCATCCGGTAAAGACCCGGAGGAGGACGTGATCGAATCGTAAAGCTCCATCCTTTGCACTTCCGCGCTCGCGTCAATTATGTCATCGGCCGTTCGATTTTCCGAGATCGGAATTACCGTTCGGCTTTCTTCGTTGATCCGCTCGAGCGAGTAGGCCGCACGACTGGTATCCTCGACGGCAGCCGTCGCGGACGGGAGCGCGTCGTCGCTCGGGGCCATCGACATCCTCGCGGAATCGTCATCGTCTTCGTTGGCCGACGGAGCCACGTCCGGACTCGTCGAATAATGCTCTTGATAAAATTGCGGCCGGTCGTCCGAGTAGGCGTCCATCTATCGTGTACATTCACACTGTAAAATTCTGCGCGTACCGTTCGAAGGGGGACCAGTTTTGTATAAAATCACGAATTCGTAAGTAGAAAAAATGTCTAAATACCTCGCAATGTCCGCAAGGTTCGTCGTGGTAGGTTGAGAGTATGGCCGCCTTGACGTAGGCGAATTCGAGATTGCTCCAGGGGGCGATAACTTCGTACGTCAATCTGCCGCAACTGTGAGCCAACACAAAAATTAAAAAAGTAGGTATGATGAGACATTTGGGTACGAAGCAAGCCCTTAAAAATCGCTTTTACCGATCCAAAATGAGTATCTGATCGCGCTGGACGTCGAACGTGTCCCAGATCTGCAGGTCGCTGTTGTCCTGAGTGAACATGACGTCGGGTCCCAGCGACTCGATGAGCGCGTCGGTAGCCCGATCGAAGAAGTCCGGCGGATCCTCCGAGGCCAGTCGCTGCTGCTGCTGCTGCTCGTCCTCGTAACTGTAAGCGCCAGCGCCGTCATCGTCGGGATAGGCGGCGGCTTCTTGGAGGCTTCGTTCGCGCGCGGCGTTGATGACGAAATACTGAATCTGGTCGAAGCCGTTGCGATCCATTTTTTCCATCAGCTCTCTAAGCCTACGAAATAAAGGTCGAAATTGTACGTACAGAGCCAAGATAAAGTAAACGATCCGAGATAACTTAACGGGGGGAAATTAAGTATAGGTAGTATACTCACATGACGGACTGATTGTGACTCGATTGCCAGGCAGAGTCGAAGAAGCCCAGCACGCTCACGGATCCGATCTGAAAGTCCCAGAAGATCATATTGCTGCATTGCTCCGGCCGATAGCTCTGCAGCAGCTGCTGCTTCTGCTCTCCCCAGGACTTTTTGAATCTCGTTGTCGCGGCGTCGCGTTGGATCGGAGCTCGCCGATTTCTCGCCGCGGCCCGCTGCGTCGACTGGCATCCCGAAAGAATCAACAGCAACACCACCAACGGTAGCAGCGAGAAAATTATCGGACGAGTCATTGTCCTCTCTGCCGAATACTGCACAAGTACTGCGCGCGACTCGCTATGGGATAAAATATACGTAATATTTTATCGATGCCGCAGCTGAGCTGGCGCGTCTCTCGCTTCCTGTCACAGCAGCAGCAGCTCAGCTTGTAAGGCCGAGCGAGCGATTGATCTCCGCGCGATGACGATGACGATGATGTCGCTCGGCAATCAATTACAACCCATTATCGCTCGAGTTTATCTTCGCGGCTCTAGTCGTATTCGTCGTAGTCGCTGATGACTCGCGCGGTGGATCCATGAGAGCGAGTCTTCCGATTCCGCGGCCCAGAGCGGCGCAGACAGCTCCGCAGCTGCTGCTCGTACAAAAAGCGCGTTATATACATATATTTTTGTAAGCTTCTTAATAGGCTTATATACTATACATAAAAATATGTATACGAGTTTTAAAATAAATGTGTACACGTCTTTGACATTATCGATTTTAGCGATCGTTTCTGCGAGCATAGCCTCGTCGTGGATACATAGCAATTCCAACGCATCTCAAAGCTCGCGCAAAGCTCTTAAATGCGTTCGAATAATTGCGCGCTAAATCGATTGGCGGCTTCTGTCACCGATTGGAGGGGGTCACAAAAAAGAACACGAGCCACGCGGCTTTGACAACGTTGTCCAATCGCGAATCGCCAGCTAGCCCGCGCCGCGATCCCCATGCCGGAGCAGCAGCAGCGTTTGACAGCTATCCTTATGGGCTCTCTGTGTATTTGAGTTCGACGTTGCAGACTTCGCGTGTACACATATAGATATAGGTAGATGTACAACGCGACACGAATAGGCAGCAGTGACTGAAAGAGAAGACGTGTCTCGCGGCCGAAACAGTTTCGCCTGGTATATATCGTGGCTCGCGTATATAAATGACTCCGCTCTGAGGCCGACACGACGTATCGTACGTACACAGAGCAAAAAGAGGCGTCGCAGTTTTTAATTATTTTCAGAACCTAATCTAGCAAGTAAGTGTCGTTTTTGCATTCGCGCGATCGATCCCGCACCTTGACACTGCCCTTCGTCATTGACACGGGTGAGATCTCCGCACAGAACGCTAATTCCGTTATACGTTTTCTAACCTGTACCTCGGTACGAGGCCTACTGCCCAAACAATCTGTTATACAAAGTTACTCGCGATTTAATTTTTCTGCGGTGTGAAAGAAACGACGAATGATAACGGCATGATATCCGGTTACTAATACATCTTTTTTGACAAGTGACACGAGGGTAATGAATGATTATTCCATTTTTCAGATTAACTCAAACCAAAATGAAAACAGTATTTTTACTAGTAGCACTAATAGTGTCAATTGCCCATACGGCATCGTCTCTCAAAGAAGGAGAGTGCGAAGGTAAGAGTGACAAAGATTATGCTTTTTTAGAATTTTTATAATAGTTCATATCTGATGCAAAATTAAACGTTTTTTTACAGTGTGTATAGCAACAGTTAACAAGTTTGCAAACACGCTTTCTGAAGATGTAAAGAAAAACCCTAAAAGTATTGAGACAGAATTCAAGAAATTCTGCAAAGGTACAAAATCAAAAGAAAATAGATTTGTAAGTATAAATCATGGATTCATTTGATATTTTTTTAATTTTAATATGTATTAATACAAAACATATTTCAACAGTGTTATTACTTGGGAGGATTAGAAGAATCAGCCACAGGTATTTTAGGTGAATTAAGTAAACCACTTTCTTGGTCGTTGCCCGCAGATAAAATCTGTGAGAAACTGAAGAAAAAGGATGCTCAAATATGCGAACTACGCTTTGGTATGTTTATCTCCTACACTCTTACTTAATTTTACAGTTTGATTGAGCATAAGTGAACCTTTTTTTCTTTAGAGTACTTTCAATAAGTTATGATAGCTTAAAGTGATGTACAAACAAAGCTTTCCGATTCATGAAACAATTTTAATAATTATAATTTTATCTTTTCAGAAAAACAAATTGATTTAAACACAGTAAATCTAAAAAAATTGAAAGTTCGTGATCTCAAGAAAATTCTCAACGATTGGGATGAAACATGTGAAGGATGCATAGAAAAAACTGATTTCATCAAAAGAATAGAAGAACTTAAGCCTAAATACTCAAAAAGTTCTAAATCAGAGTTATGAATATAGTTTTAATAATCTTACTTGAAGCATTTATTCATTTTAAATTCATTTTGAAAATCATGTTACAATTTCACAAACAACTAAAATATTTTTTTATTGTAAAACATGATTTTATCCTTTATTTTTATTTAAAACATTCTAAAGTTTTAAAAGGCATAATCAGCAGCTAAAGAGTTGCAATGAAATTCCTTGATTACTCTTTTGATTTTATTTTGTAAATAGATCTGAAATCTTCCACGATCATGTTACAAAATAATATCTAGTTCTGAAATTAGTTCAAATTATTGTACACTATTACAGTTTGTTCAATTTTTGCTTGTCTTTACAGACCATCAAGTCTGTGATATTACTGTTATTTATTTTAGAATTTTTTAGTGAATAATAGTAATTGATTGAGTGCAGGCTCAATGAACATTCATTATAGAAAGATAAAATTGAAAATCATGACTGCTAAAAATCAATCATATGATTTTGGAACACTAAATGAAATGATTTAAACAATGATGGAATTATTTCAGGTGCTTTTATTTTCAATAATTTTACTTAAATGAAACCTGAAAATTGTAAATTATTTTATACTGATCAATTGTACATGCTATATTTGCATACTGAAAATAAATTTTTTAATTATTCATGTAGAGTTTTCATAAATGTTCACAAATACACAATTCTTAATTTTATAGGTTTTGAAATAAATTTGTGGGCATTAAATAGTGCTCAAGTGTAATTTATTTTTATCGGACTTTCAATTTGCATTATAGTTCATCGTAAATGGGAAATTTTTCCATTCGAGACCGATCAACGTCGATAAATTTTTTTTAATGCTCGAATTTTTCAATTACGTCGATTTGACGGGGTTTTAAATAAAAAAAACCTTATCTTCGACGATAACACATTCGCTTTTAGTTTTGTTACACATTTATACGAAACTTAATTTAAAAATATATCATTTGTTAGTGGATTATTTTTTGGAATAAGCTATTGAAACGACAGAAAAGCTTGAATGTATTAATTAGCAAAGATGCAGCATAAATTTAAAATAAACTAAACTAGTCTCTCAAAACTAAACTATTTTTACAACGGGAAATAAGTGACGTTCGAGTATTATTTATAAAATAATACATTTATAAGTAATAAGTTCTTTTCAAGTTTTACTTGAAATGCAAAAAATATATCAAGCAATTAATGTTTTAAAAATTTTAAGTTTAAAAGCACGAAGCGGATTATTTAATTTTTAAGTAACTCGCCAGCTTTTAATCATTACCATTTAAGTTGCTTAGAAACATTTAGCGGTTTTTTCAAACCACTGATACACTGATTTATCAGTCGAAAAAATTAAATTTTTTTATTATTAAAACTTAATTTCTTGCATAATACTCCCTAACCTTTTACTATCGCGAAAGCTTTAGATATTTCCACGCAGTCACATTCCGAAATTAATTTCGAACTACGAGAGCTTTTTTCCTCGTGTTTATCATACTAAGGCTCTGGATTTTAACATGCTGTCAAAGGTTAATTTAAGAATAAAAATTGCGTTGTTATGATTTTATTTAATCGGCTAAGAAATATTAAATAAAAATATTAATTAAAAAATAAAAAAAATCATTCAAACACGGTTCAGCTACTTTACGTTTAGACAGAATTCTAATTGTTGAGATTAATGCACTCAGACTTAGCAAGTCTTTCATGAAAATAAAAATAGCGACATTGACCTTGTTAATGTGTGGTATTATTACTCTGGCCACATTGTCAGACGGTCCCCGTGTGATTCGAAGCACCAATTTACGTATGCAATGCCAATATTATGTTTGTAAAAGTTGATCATTCGGAGTCGCGTCAATCAAGATCGGAGCCTGCTATTTTGGATATGAACAAACTTCTCGAGACTTAATTAGATACGAGCAACAGGCTCAGCAAGTTCGTTCGTTTATTCAACCGATTCTTTACGCGCGTTCCATGAATCTGCTGCACCCATGAAAAATCTCGCGATGCAAGAGCACTTGGAGCGTTCGTTTCTTGGTATTATAAAAAAAGACGAATACCAAAATAAGCACTTGAATAGCTATATTGAAAACTGAAAGACACGTACATGCTGGTTTATTACGATTTTGTGGTGATATTTAAAAATAATAACTCGTAACAGCAATTGTAAAATTATTGCTTCTATTTGTTTTTACATATTTACATAACATCATATCTTTTGAATATTTGTTCGCATCAGTAATTTCTATGAAAAAACTATTTTATTGACAAAATATATAATATTTCAATCTTTTAGATTTAGAAAGTAGATAAGGACTTTCATAAACATGAAATTTTGTAACATCTAGAACAATGTATTTTTTTAATTAAGGCTCAATAATCAACTAGATCAGTTATTTCAAAAAATTACTTCCTACAAGAACCTACTAATAATTTTTCAACATAATCTTTATATTTTGTATTTAATTGTAAAAAATATGAATTTTTTCAAATAATCCTTATCGCTAATTTACAAGCGATATGAATCGTATGTAGAAAACATAGTACGATGCCATTGTTCAAGTAATGCACCAAAATATTTATAATTATCAGCTTTAGAAAAAGTATATATTTTTATAGAATACTTTACATCGATTCATGAACTGTACAAGCATTATACACCAATTTATAATTTCTGAACTTGTTTCTTAACATTTTCCTTCATTTAAAATATATAATTTGACATTTTATTATTTAAATCACGTTGTTTCAATTCATGTGTCATGTAGTCCACTTAATCGTAAGAATACATATTTAGAAAATTAATTGTTTGAAGGCAAGCCAACTTAATTATACAAATATACTAAGTAAGTGTTGGTTAGAAACCTCTAAAAGCTAACATATATATTATTGATATGTCAACTTCTTTGAACACTCACCCCAATTTCAATTGTTTAATCAATTTGTAAAATGTAAAATTCTGCGAAAACAATTTTTTCGGCATTTAGAGATAAACTATCGGTATTATATATTCACTTTTTTATGAAGTGAATATTTCAGTTTCATTTTAAATTTTTAAGCACAAAAAATTTTTTTTGATAATTAATTGAAAATCGATTGCACATTTGAAATGAAATTAGTTTTTGTTCTATTTTGTAAAAATAGAAAATTAAATATTCTCACAATTTATAAGTATAGAAATATTTTAAATAAAGCTTTACACACGTTTCATTTGTATGAAAAACAGACTTCCCTTTGGTTAAATGTTTACATCACTCCAAATAAACCTATCTAGTATCACTCGTTTAATGCAATCGTTATTCATAAATATTGAAGAATATTGAAACAACGATAAATAATTTTGTGAGTAATTAACAAAACTAGAAAGATAAAATTTTATTCGGTATCTCCACTTCTTACGCGATTTCGTCCTCGTCCTGTCAACACAAAATTAATAGTGATTTTTAAAAGAAGTGTTTTTTTCGATCATAAAAGTATCAAAAACAATAAATTCCATATTTTGTGGTAACAATGAAATTACTTGAATTTCACTAGTCTTTTAATATAAATAGTATAATTTAAAATATTATGATAATAAATAAAAAGCATTACCTCTTCTTATTTGATTGAGGCACGCCAGCATTCGAATCATAAAAACTGCAGGAACAGTAATAGTATCTTTTGTTTCTTCGAGCATCACAGCATTTCTTTTCATTAACTGTGGAGAAAAAATTACAGTAAAAAATAAAAGTAAAAAATGAAATAAAAATAATAGAATTGCCATTACATCTTCGGCGAATTTCCCATCGAAGCTGGGTTCTTCGTTAGTCGGTGCCCAAAGCTTGACGTCATAATCTATACCGGAAGTCGCCAATAGAGGAAGAAAAGGATGGGGTTGAACGCAATTGACAACGTGCTGGTCCGCTTCGAGCAGCATGACAAGTTTAGCCGTTTCCCGATCCCAAAAAAAGACGTGGCCACAGTCGCTGCCAGAGATGATAAAGTTGTCGCCCCAAAAATTGGCCTCCTTGATCATGGTCCTAAAGAAACTAGAGTCACACACACAAGTATAGGTAGCATAGTAATAATAATAAATCATGGGCAGCTTTTTTGGCAGCAGCCCACACTGGCGGTCGTCAGAAGCCTCGTTGGTTCTTACGTATGCTCGTCGGTTGGTTAATGAAGTGTGAGAAACGGTAGTACTTTGTGCACACTCGGGCAAAACAAAACAAGTTCGTCTGTAATACAGCACAACCAGAGTACTTCGATTTCTGGTTCTACGCACACTCGGCATAGTTTGGTCGACATCGAGCTCCTGATGAATCAAGGGTTGTTACTCATACACGTAGAACAATGAGAATAGAGCATCGTTTCCACTCCAGTTTCTGAGTGAAACATGCTCTAATCGGTTCGAGAGTAAAATGACAATGACTCCAACATTAAATTCATTAAATGAAATTTTTGAAAACACACAATATTCGTAAAATGTCGTTCTGTAATATCAATCAATATTATCTCCATTTTTTTAAATATTACTTTGAATTATTTTCAAAGTGAATCATATTTTTCATATAAATTGAAAAATCATGGAGAGACAAAGTAGGTAAAATGAAATGAGCTGGACCAAACATTGTTTCTTCAAGACCAGATTACTTTTTGCTAATGATCGAGTTCTAGATTCTAAATAATTATATGATAGTCGATTTTGATGATCTAATTTTTAAGTGCCAGTATTGTACTGAACCTAGGTAAAATAATAGTCTGAAATACGAAAATTTTCGTTAAAGCGAAAAATGCATTTATTAACTTTACTTTCCAAATACACAAAAAGTGCACCTGTGAATAAAAAGTCATGCGCACAAAACTATTCATTTGAAAGTTTGTACTTTGATGTGGTTAAAGCATGTTTATAACAATATTGTGAATTTTTTACTATACAGCAAAATTTTTTTTTGAAAATCACAAATTAGTACTTTTTTGCCTTGATATATCCACGAATAAAAAACTTATTTTGTTCAGATTTTCGAATAAGATTGTCAATATTATATTTTCATAAGGTTATATTAAATTCTTTTGATTGATTTTGTCATTACTAAATCGGTAAAATTTTGCTCATTTATTAATTTCCTTTCATTTTCAGTTAGAAAAAGTACTAATGTGATACTTTTTCAATAAAAAAGTAGTATTATCTGTACATATATAACATAGAATGTATCAAATTATAAAAAGTTTTGAAATAATCTTACCTTGCGTTTCGGTGTCCTACAAACTTTTGGTCCACATAATAATCTGTAGTATGATCTGCGCTAAACCTAAGGTGAGATTTTCCGTTTGAATCATTGGGTACATCGTGATCTAAACTCGAATCATCATAATATCCAGATCTCCTGAAAATATTTAAATTAAAGTATTATTGAAATAAAATTAAAGTATTATTTTTTAGTTATTGTATACCTCGTTGCATGACTTGAGTCTTCGTCATCGCTATCCATACATGCATTTTCATCTATGTTAAAAAAAATGTATATTGAATTCAAAATACTTGTACTGCTTAGAAATTGACAAAGTTAATAATTACCCGGTGCTAGGTCAGGTTGTGTAAATTTATGTGAATTACTTGGACCAGGATTGGAAAAATCGTGTGTAGAATAATCAGGCTTTTGGTTACCTATAAGTACAAAAAAATTACCATATTAGTTATACGATAACTTTTACAATTAAACGCCACATTTTTCATAGAATTAAGAGATTAAATAACTGTATTAGAGCTTATCATTTAATAAAAATTGGTATTAAACAATTCTAAATTAAAAATAAATAATATTTATTCATATGAAATTACCAATACGAGGGTCACTTCCTGCTGCTTCGTTTTCTAAACCTAATGAAATATTTGGATTGGTTGAATTATCATCTGGATACGCTAATGTAACAGGAGATGTTTCATTATGTCTGCAAAGAAGTAAGATTAATAAAGCGTTAGTATTTGATTTAGTTTTACAAATTTTTTTACAATATGATAAATGAAAGTTTAATTCAGAAAATTTTAGTCTAAAAAGCACACTTCTAAAAAATTGACTGATTTTTAGTTTTTATCAATAACTTTTATAAATAATGATAGTAATTTAAATTGACTATAGTTTTGGAGTTTATTAATACATAAAAATCAATCTTACTGTTCAACAAATCCATCTTGTAAAGTAGTCAGTCTATCTTGTACATTTTCTAATGTATTATTGCTATTATCTTGAGAAACATTTGTAACAATTACATTTTTGTCAGTGGCATCTATGTTTAAAGAAGAGACACCAGAATTTAATTTACTTTCTACATTGCTTGAATCTAATGTGGAAGGTTGTTCAAGTTCATCATTATCTGTATCTAAAAATAGTCTTGGAGAAGCTGTCTCAGAGGTAGAATCATTAGATGATTCCAAATTTTGTTCTACATGTTGATTGAACCTAGAATTTGTTTCTTCGTTGTTGTGAAGATTAATAGCATCAAGTGATTCATTATCATCCTGATGATCATTTGTTGCTTCATTTCTACCAGAAGCACTTTCTTCTTGTTGGATAGCTTGTTCTTGTTGACTAATAACACCTTCAAAGCTATCTTCACCTCCACCACTGAGCGCAGCTCTTGTAGCTGGATCATTCAACATTCTACTTAATACATCTGTCATTCTTTGCATTAAAGATGTATGTAGAACTGGTCTTGCTTGAGCTATTTCTGTAATAATTTTTAATTAAATGCATAATTTTTTTTTTTTTTTAAGAAATAATAAAAATCGATTGATAATTATTTTCCAACCTGCTCCAGTGTGACGTCCACCATCTCTTTCTGGTCGAGCATCTGGGCCAGTATCTGACCAATCACCTCGTAATCTCAATCGACGTACAGGTTGTGAAGGTTGAGCAGAACTTTTCTTGGCATTTGGAGAAAATGTAGTCGATCCTATCTTTGACTGATTTCTACCCCGATCCTTTACCATAAATATTTTCAGAAATCATTCAATATTCTTAATTGAAAAATTGTACTCACTTTCATACTAAATAGATATAGGTGATCACTGCTGTAGCTAACAAGAACATCATGACCATCAGGACTGAAACTTAATGATGTAATTCTGTAGGGATTTCCTTCAAATTCAGGCACAGTAAAAGAATGTAATGGTTCAATTTTAGCTTTGCTATCCTTTAAACCTGTAAGTACACATTATAATAATACTCATCAATTAGTGTTAAAAAGGAAAAAGATATAAAAAATACTTTTTTATTACCAATAGTTGGTGTTCCAAGCATTCGCCTGTCATATATTTGTACTAAACTGTCTGCACGTCCAATTGCTACTTGATGAGACATAATTGGATTAACTGATATTGCTGTAACTGCTCTATTGCATGAAATTAAGATATCCTGAAACAAAAATACATGTAAATACTTTTAAATGATTAAATCAAGTTAATAATATACCTCTTCACATCTAGCAAGACTACATTTTTCTTTAATTCGTAGATCAAACCATCTGACAGTCCCATCTTCTCCACAACTTAAAAAATTATGGGGTTCATTAGGAACCACAGCTATTTCATATGTTGTCCCACTGTGACATGTGAATTGACAATTGAATGTTTCTGCTTTTTTGTATAAGTCTGTAAAAATATAAATTAAATTGCAATATTTTGAATCAAAAAATTGAAGTTAAAAAAAATTTACCAGTGAATAATATAATTCCATCGCCACTGCAAGAAACTATTCGATGATCTCCACAGTTGGGTAGAAATTTTGCACTGAAAATATTTGCTCTATGGCTGGTTCTAAAATCTGCAAGAACCTATAAGAAAATAATGACATTAAGGTCAAGTTAATGAAAAAATACATTGCTACATTTCTGAAGCTAATTATAGATTAGTTTCAATGTTCAAAAACAGAGTATAAAGTGTTGATATAAAAATAAGTTAAATTATAATGGATAATAATACTTTATAATTGAGATTGAAACAAAAAAAATCAAATTAATTTCATGAAATACATTATAATTAGATTTAATAGTGAGACATTTCATAAAAAACTTACTTGATAATTGTAGGGATTGGCGAGAATTAAGTGCTGATCATCACTGCCTGATAAAATTATATCTCCACCATTATTCCAACAAATAGAATTTACACAACCATGATGTACTTGTGATTGTTTCAAAAAAGACATGCGTTGCACAAGCTGTAGACTTGCTGCAAATGATCACATCGTAACGTAAAACATAAAATGACTTGTTGCACTACAATCATTAATTATTGTTATTCATACATTTACAGCTGTTGTAGATCTTAAATCTGCCATTATAATCGTAAGGTCGGTTATAAATATCGAAAAAAAAATTGCTTTTGTTCCTCTTCATCGTCATTCCTGTGACAATTTACAGTTATGCACATGAGAGATTGTATATTGTGATGCGATTTTGTAAGTTATTTTCGAAAAGTGATAACTCCGCACCAGCCTCTGACAAATAAGATACCAACTGAACTTTATTTTAAAACAAAGAGCAGAGTAAATGATACTTCATGCGATGATGAAGAGACATGGGAAGTGAGCCGATGATACGCGAGACGGAGTGCAAAGTGTCGGAAGCTCAAAAGCATGAATGTTTCTCAAATAGATTAGAGCTTGAAGTCCAACCCTCCAAGGTCTAATTTATATCCCTATATACAAAGAGCTTATTATAATATAAGGTTGTGTGGTGCAACTGTACGAGGTTAAGGTGATACGCCAGCGACGTCTACTGCAAATTTGCGCAGAAATCTGCCTTGCCAATATGAAAACATTATTTTTGTTTTCGAAAAAAGTGCGACACTGGCACTTTTTTGACAATTGAGCCACGCAGTCTCAAGTTATGGGGGCGTTCGCAATCAAGTTCTCCTTGATAATCGAATAGTCAAATTAATCGTAATTCGACTTCACGTTAATAAATATTTTCAAACGTTAATCGAATTGCTTACAATTTAGTCAAAAATACATTTAGCATATAATTATCGAATTTTTCTCTGAAATTACTGAAAAGTCAACAAGCTTCTTTAAAGTATTGTAGATTATTGAGAAGTTCGTGCTTTAAAATTTCATATAAAATTGCATAACGCAAAGATGGTGATCTATTTTTAAAAGTAAATTCTCAATTTATTCCAGATTAATATTTATTTCTGATAATTATACTTTTTGATTAATGTAAAATTAATGACTAGATTGATTTCTGAACGCTGAACTTTTTTAATAGATTTTGTCTGGTACCGAAAATGTAGGGATTATTTTTATCTCGGTTAGTTGCTGTGAAATAAGAAAGATGGAAATATGAGTTCGATCGAAAGTCGACCAATTTTCAAAATATACCTTCAGTTTGTTTAATCGATATTGATAGTTATATTTCTATTATGCTTAGCTGTTAAAAGTAATATAATTATTTATTTGAAAAAAAAAAGAAGTCATTTCCCACTGATTCTTTTTTACTGAATATATAGTACATAAATTTCGTCGATGAAAAACGAAGCATCGAATCGAAGGTTTATTTCAAATTCTCGATAATTCTCTCGTACGAATGTTAGAGAAATTCGTTTAGTTCTGTTTTTTATGATTCAAGCGTCACAGAACATATTTTTCAGTCTATATGCAATAAGAAATACATCGAAGTTAGTCATTCTATCGTTGACGGTTATTTCGAATCTTTTCGATCAGACGGAGACCTGTTCGCCAAATTCCAAAAACGCCGGTACGACTAAGCAAGCTCATAGTAAAATTCCAAAGAAGCTCAAACGCATCAATTAACGTTTGCCTTCAAGTATCGAATCAATTGGATTTTAACAAATTTGGTGCATATTATCAACTGCCTCGGCGCACACTAGGTAATTCAAATTGACCGTTGCATTTTGGTACAGGTTGAGATTCTTTTTGCAACTTATCAAGTCGTTTAGATTCACCATGAACAAAAGCATTGACTTCTTTATTCACTCGTGTGAAAATCGTGTAAGTGTGTGTGTGTATGTGTTCTATTCTTTTACCGTTATAAAACGTAGTTAAAGTAAATTGTACAATAATCAAAAATTTCATGAATTTCATCGATAAAAAACGGAGCATCGAATTGGAGGTTATTTCAACTTTTTTAATTGTTGATTATTGTTTCGTACCAAAGACATTCTTCGATTTGCGTTTTTTACTAATCAGATGAAAAATAACTCATTTTTCAGTTTATATAAAGTATGTAGGAATGATGCCGAACTGTGCTTTGAATCAATGACGGTTATTTATAAATTTCAGTCACTTCACTACGATTTGGCTGGCTCTCAACACAATTCTAAGAAAGCTCAAACGCATTGATAAACGTTTGCTTTCAAGTTTCAAATCATAGCATGTGAATATATCCCAGTGCATATTATCGCCAGCCTCGACTGCACACTAGGCAATCCGAACGGACCGTTACATATTGGTGGCATAGGCTGAGATTCTTTTTGCAACTCGGAAGACTTTGCACGTTCGACGTCACGTATAAGAGTTTGCTGGTGGTGGATTTGCGTAAAAATCTTGTGTGTTCTTATCTTTTACTTTTTATAAAACAAAGTCAAAGTAAATTAAAAAAGATTTCGAAAAAAACGGAGCCTCGAATTGAAGGTTATTTCAAATTTTCTAATTGTTGATAAGTGTCTCGTAGAAACGTTAGTGATTTTTGTTTAGTGCTGCTTTTTACTATTTATGGGTAATAAACCATTTTTCAGTTTCTGTGAAATACGAAAGGCAACGAATTTCGAAGTTATATCATTAACGGTTATTTTGACATTTTTCGATCGGGCGATGCTGTTCACGAAATTCTGAATACGCCGCATATAGATCCAAGCGAGCCCTCAGTAACATATAATTCAAAGATAGCTCAAATACATCGAGAGACAGTTACAAAGTTTCGAATCATTAGGATGCGAGCATATCCAGTTCATATTATATCAGCGTCGACGCCCGCGGCGCACTGGGCAATCGAAATTTCCGTTGCATTTGCTGTTTGTAAGAACGAAGAATTCGATGGAACGTGTAACTCGTATAAGCTACAACGGATTCACGGTGTAAAAATCTCCAGTGTGTTCTATTCTAATACTTTTTAAGATATTGTAATAATACAGTTTATTGTCCGATGCTCTACGAGCGTAGCAAATTTTAATTCGTACAGTACAAACATCATCGGATGACCGAATAACCGTCAAAACAAAAGGTGGCCGCGGTCCACAGTGTCTTGGCCGAGTCGCGCGCCAAAACAATGCCCGCAGCACACGACACCGCGCGGAGGCAACGAACTTCGCTTTCGTTGCGAATGTCGATCGCGAGATTCGAGATTCGAAACGACGACGATCGAGCCAAAACCATAGTTGCTCGCTCGCGCATCAATTTGATATACAGTTTAGTGATAGTTTGGACTCTGTTGACTTTGAGTATACAGTTAGTGTACAATAATTAGTGCAAGTATATAGTTGTAAAGTGATATAAAATGTTTTAACAAAGAAAGTGAGTGAAGTGTTATAAAATGTTATCGAGTGTGTGAGTGAGTGAGTGTGTGTGAGTGTGGGGCGATCGAAGCCTTGACTAATATTTTTTGTTAGTGTAACAGTTTTCAAAAACTTGTGCGATTGAGATTCGTTAATCTAAACGAGCCATTTTATTTCAATACTATGGAGCATTAACTGATTCGAGAATTACATTAATTTCAAATTGCGGTTCGAAGTCCATATAATCTACGCAGCAAACGTAAGGTAAGAATCATTTGCCATTGTGAAACTATTGATATGATCGAATGAATAATATCATTGGATATTTCTGAAAATTCATAATATTGTGATTGTAATTAAAATAGCCATAGACAAACATTTAAATTTAATCGTTTTTCCTGCCCCGTTCAAATATGGCTCATATCTGCAAAATTTTTCGACATTGATTCAACGATATCAACTGCAGCATTCTATGTGCTTAGCGCGCTCGAGGTTACATGAACAAATTTGAAATTTTAGCTCTAAACTTTCATTTTTTTTAATATTCGATCACTTCTGATTTTTACTCGCTGGTAATTGCCAAGAGGTATATTGAACGAGGGGTTAGCCGCTCGCGGTGAGCTGCAAATACCAGCGGGCCGCGCGCATAGCACTTCCATTCTGTCCATGTCATATTATTATAATAATAAAAATATGAAAGTACGCCCGAAATAAAGAAAAAAAGAGTAATAATCTCTGAGATCTTTTAAAATTCATCGAAGCATACACGGAGCTGCCTTGGATTGTGTTCTGTACATATAATACGTATACGTGTAAGCGTGCATGTGTGCAAGCAGTAGCATCTCTTCCTTATTCCATCTTTATCTCCGCAGTTCTTAAACTGCGTGGAGCAGCAGCAGCATAAGCAGCGTGAGTGTACACCACTTTTTCGACCACCTTTTCGCTCTCTTCTCTCTCTCTCTCTCTCTCACTGCTCGTAAATATCTAGGGCTGCTGCTACTGCCAGCCAACTTTTCTTCTTATATCGCTCGCTCTCTTCTTTTTGTTGGTTCCCTTTCTCTCTTGACTCTGGACTTTTTTTACCCCTTTTCTTTTTTTTTACTCCCTTGCGCATTTTCCATCTCCGTTGTATATTCTCCGCAGCGCGCATTGTCTGCGGCTTGCATTTCTCAATTCTTTTTACTTCGTGTACATGCGTTCTTTTCTAATTTCTACCGCAACTTTCTGCGATTCATCTTCCTTGTAGAAAAATCTTCCATGCTACTTTTCATTCGCTTCTTTTTTACACGATCCTCGTCTCGATCTTCTCCACATTCATTTAGATAATTTTATCTGCACGGATTTACCTTTTCTTGATTTTCTCAATAAGAAAAATTGACACTCGCTTACCTTTCGATATTTTTTATTTTCGGAGTCGATAAACGAAGTTTACCCTTTCAAGTAGAAAATAACCGCAGTTTAATATAATATTGTCAATAAAGAAGGTATCAATCAAAAGGTACTAATTTGTAAAATAGATTCATTCACCTTGGATACTTGAGCTCTTGGGGTGCATACTCAGAAGTTTGAAGAGTAAAGATTATAAAGAAAATAAGATAGATGCTAAGCTGGTATGGGCAGTGAGAAAACGGCCTATCTTTCGATACGTTGCCGAGATAAAGCTAGAACGAGAGCGAAAGAGCTTACGGCATAGCCCGCAATGTTATAGCAAAGCAATGCCGATGCAATTCCAATTCCTGGCTGTCAGCAGCAGAATCGTTGCTGGGGAGCAAGCGAGAGAGAGAGAGAGAGAGAGAGAGAGAGAGAGGGAGAGGAAGAGAGGGAAAAGGACGAGCGGCGGTGCGTTCACGTCATTCGAGATCAGCCTCCCGTGAAAGCCTCTCTCGCACACGAATCACCCCCGAAACGGAGCCGTAGGTATACGCATTTCCTCGCCGCCGCAGCCGCGCACACTGTGCTTTCTCGATTTCTCGTTCTCGCTCGTATATACACGTAGTATAGCTCCATCCCACCATGTTCAGCGCTCCGGCTTTGCCTTTCTATCGCATACGGTCCTGCTTTTAGATTATATTTCCTTTTTTTATGCATCGATTCTGCATTTTTTTATACATTTTCAAAATTAGCTTTTGCCGTCTTGCTCGTTCCAATACGCGTCGCGGAAGCGATTCTTTTTTCGAAATTCAGTGGACCACTAGGTGATGTTATTTCTAATCTAAAGATGACCGGCATTAAAATCCAAAACGTTCAGCAAACATTTGTTCACGCCCAAGATATATGCAATAGCCCCATTTACATGTAAAATAAGAGTTTACATTTTCTACGCAATCAGTGAGAGTCTGCAACAGTGTTTTTAGCACACTTGTGTTCTCAACTTCATTGAGATCAGTTACTTGAGCTTGCGCTTCCTGAAAAAAATATTAGATTAGAAATGCTATTGAGCAAGTATTTTTTTTTATAGTTTATCGTCCATCAAATAACTTACGCGAGTTAAAATGATTATATTCTAAAAATAACAATAGTCATCATAATGACAACATTTCTTTGACTTGACGCTTAAAAAAAACTAGTTCTCTGTAAATATTTAGTTGTGGCGAACACTACTAAAGAATTTGAGTGGCAATCTGTCGGACGACCAGATCAGATGGTTTTTTTTATCATTTTATTGAACATATATGGATTTTTTAATCAATGATATTGTTCGGAGTATGTGAATTTTTTGGTAATTTTTTTAGCATGTGATTTGACTTTATAATCTTGTGTCTCTTGCGCAATGCCTCATTTATTAGCATTCATACATAAAAATAGAAATAATCATATTTTTTGGAGCAAGCTCTTGACCAATGTTTAAATGTCGCTATCTATTATTTGTTTATCATAGTAAAAACTATTTGTTTATTGCTCTAATCCGGAACTTGAGAGAAACATAGATAAAAGCTCGAATTCTCTCGAAAATGCTGTAGCGTGGGTAAATCGAAATGAACGAAAGAGCTCGAAAGGAGAAAACGGAGTTCTTGTTAGCGTAGCTGAGCTTGATGAAGTCTATACAAAGTCCCTCGGGTGTCGTAAAAAAGAGCGAAGCATTTCAATAAAAGTCTTTTGCAAGTACGAATCACACAACGACTTCTGTCTCATTCTCTCTGCTGTCTCTTTCTCGGTCTCTGCGCTGTACACAAAGAAACCAGCAGCAGTAGCAATAAATTTTGATTTGTGTACCAAGCTGTGGTAGCGTTGCGGCTACGGCGGAGGCAGCGAGCGAGCTGCTTTTGTGGGGTTAAAGTAAAACAGAGAGCTCGGAGGCAAGGCAAGTGGCCGCAACATCTCGTTGTATGGTTGCGCTACTACCGAGAAAAGACAGAGCAAAGAGCGAGAGAGAGAGAAGGAGAGAGAAAGGAGAGATAGATAGAAGAGCAGTCGCAGTATTATTACTCTCTGTGGGGTATTTGTGCGTTTGCATGTGTGTGCATGTATCTGTGTGTTATATACGTGTTTGACATTGCATAACATCGGTGAAGCATCATTGAAATAAGTCACGTGGAAGTTGATTCGAATGTTTTCCGAGCGGTGCATGTATAGTACAGCTACTCCGAGCTCGATTTAGGCACCGCGTGGATACGTATCTATCCATATCCTACTATATATAATAGCGCGGCCGATGCGCTACAAACGTCGAATGGCCCGAGGGCCACGCCGAGTACAAGTCCGCGTCTCGTTCGCAATTCTTGTGTATGATCGCGCGAAGAGAGTAACAGCAGTGCCTCGGCGAGAACTCGGGCCTCGACGCACTCAACCCTCTCCGTCTCTCTCTTCGCATATACACATCGAATCGACAGAGTTTCATCTCACCCGTGCGCGCGTGCCAGCTCTCGATATATACACACACCCCGTCACCGTAAACTCGTACCACACATATATACACATAAAGATAGGAAAGTCGCTCGTAAATAAAAGGCGATATTGCCGCACCGAAACTTATAGGTATATGTGCGATACGATTCGCGCACACCAGATAGATACAACTCGAGGCTCCATCCACCCGGGGCAGCCGCCACACGGCCATTTGTCTTTTACCAAGTCGATTCACGGAAATCCTCTTTTATGGCTTTGAGCTTTCTTCTTTCGCCCTCCGCGCTGCTCCTCCTTACATCTTGCGCGCCGTTGCCATAGAAATAAGTTCGCAGCTACTCGTAGAGCCGAGCTTGACTTTTTCTCGCAGCCATACTCGCATTCCATGGTGCTAACCGTTTAAAGTGGACCATCCACTACGCTTCAACAAACCGAATAAATTATTATTATTATTGAATCTTAACTTTTAAATTTTTTCAGTAAATGTGATGCATAAAGACGAAGAGTTTGCGATTTTGCATTCGACGGATTAATATTAGGATCGGACATCCTTGCTGAAAAGATTTATTATTTATACGTCATGTAAATTAAAACTTAAAATTCAATCGACTAGTTGCCCTCGACTTGCATATGGATCGATTCAAACAGCCACGCCTACAATAATACAATCGTCTATCTTGTTAAAAAGCGTGCGCACCGACCAGCGTGAGCCACGTGACTCCTTGCTCAATCATAATTCTTTCTTTCTTTATTTTACATGTATGTATTATTATACATTTTAATAGCTTCTACTTATATGAAATCGACCATTAGGCCCTTACAATGCCGAAGCTGCAAACTCCTTCTATTATTCGCTCGCTAATTGTTCTGGTGTTGATGGGCTCAATGAACTTGCTGACCGTTCCACGGCTACTTCAAATGCAATAAAATACTTATGATTGCAATCGATTTATCTCGAGTACCATCCTGAAACTTTGCATAAATTTTAGTTTCTTTTTTTGTTCGAACGCGCGCTTGGCTACATTCAATATTTTTACTGGATATTTTACTTTTCACCGAAAACGCCACGAAATTACGCTAGGTTGCTTCAATGCGAAATTGAGCGTGTGCAGTTTTTATGTTCCGGTGATTCAAGAAGAACTCCATAATATAATGATTATAGTGCGACCAATGCGTCACGGCTTATCGCGCACGAAGCGTTTTTAATACTCGATGGGGTGGCCAGTATATATTATGACAATTACGCTGGATCGCAGTGGCGCAACAGCAGTAGCAGCAGCAGCTACATATATTTAGTTTAGAGATGTAAAGCGAGACTCGTGCCGCTGTCCAATCGTTGAATCGTCAATTTCCCCGTTAAACGAGCGCGACTGCTGCATTATATTGTATATCCCTTTCTTGAAGCGGCGACGACGACGGTAACATCCGCATGCGATGATCCGTCCGAGCGAGCCCCTTTCTCACACGCCGTATTATACAGTCGGCGGCGGTGGCCGTGCAGCAGCGAGCTGCCTGCATAACGCAGTACCTCATAGTAGTCGGACTCGTGCGTCTCATTACTTTTTTCGGTTTACTCCTTTATACTTTATCGCTTTCTCATTTCCGCGGCGGTAGGCAGGCGAGCGAGCGAGCGAACTGCTGTATATGCTGCGAAGGGTGGCCAAAGTGGGCGGCTTGGTGACAGGAACGAACGAAGGGATATAGGGCTGAGTACGGCACGTGGCGCCGAGTGGTATTACGAGCGCCTACATCGTATATACACGTATAGGAACTGTGCTGGACTCGGAAAAGAGAACGCGCAGCTGATACAGCCGATCGGTTCACGAGCGAGCGAGCAGAGCGACTCTTAAGAACAGCCGGGCAGATTGACGGACGATCTTCGGGCATGAAATGCATTACCTTTGCCTGCCAATGCTGTACGTACGTATACGTAACTTGGGCTTTGGCACCCCTCCCGTATGTATGTGTGTGTACTGTGTAGCTGGTGTTAGTGCTCACGGACAGAAAAGCTAACTACTATCGAAACGATAAGCAATTTCGTACAGCTTCTTCGGGCGCTTACACATACGTGCCAAAGTCGTGTCATTGATCGGCGCCCAATATAACTCGTATTTATACTATGCACTGCCTTGTAAATTCTTGCTCATTCCAGCGTGGTAACGCGAAAACTCGACGAGTACGTACATACACGTCGTATCGCGTCGTTTGTCTGCCTCCGACAGAAACGAGCTTGTGTCATTAGTAACGTATACTCGAGTACAATTATTTTATACACGTTTATATACCGACGATCCAAACTTTTTTTTGCGCGCAAACGACTAACTAATTCTCGGCTCGTTGGTGGAACACGCAAAAAAAGCAAAGTTGAAAATAAAGCTCACGGTAAATAATTTTGCAAAAATTTTTTTTGGCATTTTTCGTAAATTTAATTATTATTCTTTTTTTAGTTTAAAAATTCATAGAAAAATAAATCAAAAGAATTTTTCATATGAACTCGCGACTGCTAATGATTTCGTTTAGATATGATTCGTCTTAATAACTTATTTTAAAAGCGTCACGCGCTTTACCATTTACCAATCTGCTTTGTAAATAATTATCTAATTCAGGAAAAATCTTATGAAAAGTGATGGAACAAAAAGTGAAGACGAAGAAAACGACTTTTTATTGATCGAGTTACTTTTGTCTTGAGCCGAAGTGAGAGAAAAATTGCCATTAAATTAGAGGCTTAAACATTTATTAGCTTTGTAATTAATAATGCGCTTTATTTTTCTCCAAAAAATTTTTTTTTTAATTTATCATTGTTTTTAAATAATGAGATGTGATTGAAGAGAATCATTGTAAATTAAAATTTTTAAATAAATCTTCTGAATAATTACATTTGTGGAGTTGTAATGCGTGAGCGATGCACTGCATCAATGTGGGTATTACGATAATTCTTTCGTCTGGATTTTTTTCACTGATGTAAATTTCAATTCTGCACTTTTCTGAAAATGACTTTCCGCATATATCCCTACATATTAGATACCTTTGTGCATTGTATCAATGTGTTTTGCGAGATTACACTTATATGAGAATGTTTTTTCACACACATCACATACATGAGATACGCCCTTGTGTACTGTATCGATGTGGATTTTGAGACTGCGTTTTAGTGTGAATGATTTTCCACACATATCACATACATGTTTGACACCTTTGTGCACTGTATCGATGTGGATTTTGAGATGTCTTTTTAGTGTGAATGGCTTTCCACACATATCACATACATGTTTAACACCTTTGTGCACTGCATCAATGTGGATTTTGAGATAGCCTTTTTGTGTGAATGTCTTTTCACACACATCGCATACATGAGATACACCATTGTGTACTGTATCGATGTGGGTTTTGAGACTGCTCTTTAGTGTGAATGACTTTCCACACACATTACATACATGAGATACACCATTGTGAACTTCATCGATGTGGGTTTTTAGACTGCTCTTGTACGAGAATTTCATTGCACACGCATCACATGCATGTTTGACATCCTTGTGCACCGCATCGATGTGGATTTTGAGATGGCTTGTTTGGGTGAATGACTTTCCACACATATCACATACATGTTTGACACCTTTGTGCACTGTACCGATGTGGGTTTTGAGATGGCTTGTTTGGGTGAATGACTTTCCACACATATCACATACATGTTTGACACCTTTGTGCACTGTACCGATGTGGGTTTTGAGATTGCTATTTAGTGTGAATGACTTATTACACACATCACATGCATGTTTGACACCTTTGTGCATTGTATCAATATGATTTTTTAGAACACTCTTGTACGAGAATTTCATTTCACACGCATCACATGCATGTTTTACACCTTTGTGCACCATATCAATGTGTTCTTTGAGATTTTTCTTATATGAGAATTTCTTTTCACACACATCACATGCATGTTTAGTACCTATATGCACCGTATCGACGTGGGTCCTGAGACTACTTTTTTGTGTGAATGTCTTTCCACATACATCACATGCATATTTGTCACCTTTGTGTACTGTATCGATGTGGATTTTGAGAGAGCCTTTTTGTGTGAATGACTTTCCACACGTATCACATACATGTTTGACACCTTTGTGCACTGTATCAATGTGGATTTTCAGAATACTTTTTTGTGAAAATGTCTTGCCGCATATAGGACATGCGTGAGTAATGCAATGATGTAATTCTTTGACGTGGCTACTCAGATTACTACTGTTTGCACATTTCTCTCCATCGCGGATCGTATGATTATGTACAGTACCATTGTGCGTTTTGAGGTTATGTTCGTTGTTACACTTTTTTGTGGTTTTTCTCCTACGATTTTGCTTGTTCAGTTCACTGTTGAAATTCAAACTCAATTCTTCTACTACGTTACCAACAAATTCCTGCTTCACTTCCTCCACGAGTTCCATTTTAATTGTGTTTTGAGTTTTATAACCATCATCATGTTGTACATTCTGCAAATGATATTCAAAATCATCATCAACTTTTTTAGCTACTAATAAATCCTTTCTAGGCTTCACATCTTCACATTCAAATACTATTTTCACGTCGTTGTAGATTTCACTTTTATGATTTACGTCACATTTTTGAAGCGTATCGGTCTACACAAAAATTAAAAACGAGTTACATATAATTAGAATATAATTTACATGAAGATATATTAAAACTTACGGCATTTTCTGGCGAAAATGGTAAAGGTTGGAAGTTTTTAAGATCTGGTTTTTCTTCGATCATTTCACATTCATTATTAATAATCCACGCTTCACTAGGCTCTTTTAATCTGGATTAATTTTAATAATATCAAGTATTGTTGTGTTATTTTTCAAATTTTATTCTTATAAAACGAAAATTACCTGATGGCACAGTTAAATAAACCACTAGGTTCCATCTATCTCACTTGGAATTTGGTGAACGAATGAATAATTTTTCTCTGATGATTGAGCGAACTACGTCGAAGCTATGCTGTGTGCTAGTTCTGTTGTTTACGTCGTGCGTGTGGTATGCATGACCTCTCTGAGCGTTCGCTCAGCACGCACTGTTTAGCCGTACATGGTATATAAGTCATTATAATTTTATCATTGAAGAAATTACATCGTGTATTTCATATTTAATGAATAGTAAACATTTTTCTATTCAAGATATATTATTATAAATATATTTTTAGGTATAAAAATTCATTTTAGCGTGCGCAAAACGCACTAGGAAATAGTAATTTAATAATAATTTAATCTAATCTATTCTAGTACTTGAAAATTTTTATTCTTCAAATAGCATAATTGTCTATTCTATTATATAATTTTGATTGAATTTTTTTTTCAACGAGAAAAATTGATAATTGCTATGACATATTAAAGATTAATTTTAGTTTGATCAGTGCGTGAAAGATAACTTGATTTTATAGCACTGTGTGTCTTAATTTCACATTTAAAGCACGCTTTTCTGTGGTATAAGTCGCACATTCTGGCACCGCGGCGTTCGCATCACACTCGCATACGCTCGTGCGCTAACCTCACTTTGCGGTACCAGAAAGTGCGATTTATGCATCGGAAAAGGGGGCATAAATGTGAACTTGGCACAGTACTATAAATTACTATTTCTTACAGTATAACATTTAAGTAAACACGAAGAGAATACAAAGTTGGCCTGTTGAAAGAATCGGCGGCCAATGCTTCGAATCGAGTGTAAGTGCAGGAGTTCGATAAAGACATCAAGCGTTTAGAGAGCAATGAGAACGAGTACAAAGGGGCTCGCGTTATGATTTTGTACGTACATTATATATGATATAAGCGAGGGTATAATAATAAACGAGCAGGTCTTATTGTCGATAAGCAGTGGCAGCAGCAGCAACAGAAGCAGCAGTGGCAGGAGTCGACTTTGGCACGTGACTGCAGTAAGCGGCCAAGTTGCGCCAATTATACTGCGCGATTTGATACGAGGTTCAATCACAGTAATCGCCACACTGCCACGCACCACGATTTTCTGCCGCCGTCGCCGCCGCCCGCGTTGAGCTCGATCCGGCAGCTCCAGCTCGCACATACATCTCAATTTTGCCTCTCGCACCCTCGAACGAGCATCTATGCTGCGCTGTGTATGATACATCGCTCTCCTTGCTCGTCGTGTGTACTTTTTTAAAAGCGCACGATACGAGCTCGTGTATACGCGCATATGAGCGCGCGCGTGTATTTGTATACGTATAAAGAACAATGGGCAGCACGCGTCGTCGATATCGCCGTTCGTGTGACTAATTCGGAGCTTCGCAGCCATTGACACTCGAGATATAAGCCAAGTACTTGCCTGTCGACGTCGTCTATGCGCGCCTATGTATAAACGGCCGTGCCCATTCAGTGCTGCACGTATGTGGAGCATGAATCGACGACGACGACGACGACTCACGAGTCGCATCGAATATGATTTTATGCAAATAAAAAGATAACGTTTTCGGGGATCGATGCCAAGCGGGCATACATTCGGGCCAGTGTTTATTCATCATGCAATATTTAACGGGGAGACCCTTGGATCGATCAAATTTTTATACGTTCATAATATGTAACGCCTGCAGCAGTCGTTCGCTTATCAGAATAGAAAATGACATGCATTAACAGGAAATTAATCCGTCCCCCTAGAAAAGCTATCTGCGCCGAGTAGCCCCCAAAAATGTCCCGAAAATTGCAACCGAGTGTGAAAGTAAATATGAATAATTTATCACTCGAATTACATTGGAATATCCGCGCGCGCTTATGCACGTGCAAATTTCAACTTCATTGGCGCCAATCTCACGAATAATTATTATTTTTATCGTTATTCTACCATTATATTTCTGAAATTTCTAGTTCGATTGGTTATATTGACTTTTTCCAAAAATAAGTTGTTGTATTATCGATAAACGCGAGAAAAAATTCAAATGCCGAAAATGGAAAAATAATATTGTGCAGTTTCACAGCAGCAAAAAATTTTCATTTCGCATCCTCGTGATGTGAAAAGGCGAATGCCGGTATTTACGACGAATCTAATTAAATGGAACGGTGCATGATCGTTGAAGCAGGTGCAAGCTCGCTAAAAAAGAAGTACGAGGAGCAAGCTCGACCATTCGAATGCGTCAAAGCATTACAATTATAATTGCAGCGATTAGTTCAAAGAGCTTGCGAGCGCTCATGCCGCGTGAAGAACAATTATATAATTTATACATGTGCTGCGACCCCGTGACGGGCGCGTCAAAAAGGACGCGTTTCGTCCGATACACAAAACGTCCAAGGAGAAAATGGAAACGAGCCAACTCAACGAGCGAGAGCTACATAAGCGAAGATGCGAGCTTACTGCGCTGCGGGCTACAGGAAGAGTTGAAAAAAAGAGTGTGAGGCGAGCGGAGGTACTGCAATATCTACGTGCGTTCGCGATACATTACGAAAAACATACTGGGGTACAGAGGCTGATGAATGTATGCGTGTGTCCGTGTACGTGTGTGTATGAAACTGGAAAAGGTTGACTCGGGAGCATAGAAAAAGCTTGCTCGGTCTCGCGTGCCGCGTAATCTGGACTGATGGCGAATCTGACACGCGGAGCGTTAACTGGCGTCCAATTTATAAAAATAACGATGAAATTACTGTTGCGTAAAGTTCGGGCGCGCAGAGTCGAGTCAGCTACACCGTAGTAGCTAGCATACATACATACCTATACTCGCACCTCTCGCGTAGCAGCTATATAAATGCGAGCTTGCGCGTATACACGTGTGTGAGTGTATATTTACTAACACCTAGTGTTGCACGCACACGTACATATATCTATTGCTTGCGCAATGGTCGCAGCAGCAGCTCAGCCAGTGTCATCGTCCAACATGACGTTCTGCTCGGGGCGTTTGTCAAAAGCCGCGCTCGAGCGAGCCCAGGGATGACACGCAGGTTAACAGCTGGGATTTTCCCCAAATGCCCTGCTCTCGCGTACATACGAATATCTGGCTGCTGCGTTGTATCTCTCGCTGCAAGCCGAAAAAGCCTTTTTGCAATGTGCCCACCGAACTCGTGACGCGAGAGTTTTGTCTCTCTCTCATACCCGGACACTGCTAGGCCGGCTACTGCTGCTACAACCGATGCCATTTTTCGTTGCGCGCGCTGTATACACGGACTTTTGCAAGCTCGCGAGCCCGCGTGTTTTTGGCTTGCGTTTTGCACGTCCGAAAAAATATGCCCATCGACACGTAACGTAATCGAAAGTCGCGAGCGAGCGAGCGCGCGCGTGAGCACAGAGCGACTTGCATTACTTCTCTTCTCTTGTCTCTTTTTTTTTTCAACTTTTTTTTTTTGCATTCGCTTTTCATTTTTTTTCTTTCGTTTTTTGCGTTTTTTTCGTTATCTACTGTCAACAACAGCTACACGCTGCTGATGCTACTGCACGCGTCCAAGCGCGTCGTTCACCAAGCGATGTGCCCATGACGCGCTGCTCGCGGCCAACTCTTGCTCTCTCTCTCGCTGTGCGACGCGCTTATTCCCAACCCCATTTATGTATACCTGCCTCGCAATACATACATACGTACAAACGTATATATATTATATAATGGCCAGTAGCATACGTATTTTATGTGTACAGACATTGGATTAATTAAAACGGAAGCTCACGCCAGCCAGCGTGCTATACATATCCAGCTGCTGCAGCCTTTTTGTGCGCTTACACACAGTCGCAAGCTCGCGATTATTATACATACACGCCTACCCTCTATACCGCTATTTCAACGCGTGTACGTGAACATGGAGAACGAAAGAGGCACCGTCGTGTGTGCGAGCGCGATTTTTCATTTCAGCACCGACTGTGCACATATGCATATGCTCGTGCGCTTTTCTCGCCTACCGCTGCTGCTGCTGCTGCTGCTGCTGCTGCTGCAGCTTTTGCACTTGCTCTCGGTTTGGCCTGTGCCTATCGTTTGATTTAGTCATACATGATCGAGTGCATCAATGGAAATGTGTTATCTAGAGACGACATCGAGATCTCTCGCCTGCGTGCGTGGCTGCTGCTGCTGCTGCTGGTAGTGACTTTTTTCCAAAGCGCATTCCGACGGCCATGTATAGCCATCTGTGTGCATGGCAACGCGGCTCTGTGGCGAAGATTGATGTATGCGCGATATAGCGTAAATTGAAAAATACCCATCGGTCCGTGTGTACCTCGTCTCTATCATTTTTTTCTCCGGACATAATGCCAGAAAAAAAGAACATGTGTCTTTTGGGGCGTCATGAATTTTGTTAAACAATATGTGAATCAATGCTTTTGAAATGAATTACGCGCGTATTAATTTATTTATTCTTCTAAAAAATCGGAATAAGGCAACAACAGCAAGAGCAGATTACAATAATAATATTTTCTACAAAATTGAAATCTTTGCAGAAGTACTTGCAAAATCTTCGAAATACACACATTTACAATTGTTACTGTAAAACAAGTGCATTTAATGCAAATTTAATGTAAAATTAGACATTAAAATTGAATTAAACGTTACTGAATTTGTTTTAAGATTCTTTTATCCGAAACATTTCTTGAATATTAATGTATCAGTATTGACTACATACACGTGGTAAAAATCACATTCATGAAATTTATTGCAATAGTAAATGAAAAAAAATTGAATTCACACTCAAATTAAGTTATTTTGATTTGAGATTAATGTTTTACTGTTTTAATATTCAATGATAATTAGTGTCAGCCTCTACCACAAGATGGCGAATAAATTCATCTATAAATCTGCTAGTGGAAAAGAGAAATTAATTGTTTAAGTCCAAGCGTAGACACTAGACACAAGTCAAAATTCTTTATTTATTTTCGGGGCATAACCTTGAAATTTATAACCTTGAATCAGGTTTTTGGAAATAAATACCGATGTTGTTAATAAATTCGACTTACTTAGATTTATTTCTGGCAATTATTAGCAATATATCTGGCAAGCATTAACAATAACGTGATAT